CTGCTATTCTATAACATTTTCCATTGTTTGTATAAAGAACTATTCTATCAATGAACTTGTATTGTTTGTGTGTGTAAACTTTGTTTTGCTTCAATTCGAAGAGATACTCAAATACGTCCATCTTTTTATTCTAAGTAAAATGTCATTTCCGAAAAATAGAAGCGTAAGTGTTTCAAAAGGTTTAATGGCGATGGCAGATGTGAAGTTAAATTCACCAACTCAAACAAACAGTCAAAGTGTTATTGTCAATGTCAAAGAAAGAGATGTTGAAATGGGGAAACCATACGAAGACCAAGATGGTATAACAATTGTTCCTGTAAAAGAACAACCAACATATCCTGAAGTTAGCAGAGACTTAAGTTCTGTTGCAGATATTCGAAACGACTACCAACAACTGAAAGACAAACTTCAAACTCAGGAGAAGATTTGTCAAGCTTTAAGTATAATGTTAAACTTGGTCGAACACAACCCTGTAAAAGTGAACTCATATGTCATCGCACCTCGTGAAGTTTTGAAAGAACTATTGAAACTTTTGACAGAGGCAGACGATATAAACATCAAAGAAATAGAACCCGACGTTAGTTGCTGTGGTGTTTCATATAATGTCATTGACAAGATATACGTTATGAAAGGAGGTGAAACGTTGAACTTAAAGTATAGTTTCCCAGACGTCATAAAAATATTTGACGACCACAACATTTCATTAAAATTTATTTGCTAAGTAAATGGCAGAAGACACAATGGTTTATACTATTACGACTAAAAACCCTGAGTCATAATTCTATAACAACAAACTTACAAAGTCCTCAAGGACGATATTGTAAACTAACTTTAAACACAATGACGACTAAAGCCTGTTTTGCTCTTTTGACACCAGAAGATTTTTTGTTGTGAATGGTAAAAAATACTCCTTTGAAGATACTTACTCAGATATACCACCAACAGGTTTTGTTGACTTATTTAATACTTTAAGGACGGATGTAACATGTGCTGCAACTAGAGCAGGTTTCATTATGTTTGGATGTCCGACTGAGTTTAGTATAAACGATATGAGCTATAATACAAACTTATATCTGGTTTTTACTACCAACAGTTTCCTATAACAGGAAAAGGTGTCATACAAGGTTTGTCTGTTCCATTGACTTTAAGTACACCTATTTTATATATTGTTTCAAACTTAGGTTCAAAGTGCTATTCGAATGTCGACAGAAACTACTATGACCAAAAGATACTCATGCGTATAAACAACACTTTCTCTGCTGGTTTGCCTATTGTTCATTCGAATGCAGAATTTTCAGCTTTAGTAAACTCAAACACTTTAGCAAACATAAACTTAACCTTAGTTGACGCAAACTTTGTTCCTGTAAAACTTTTATGTCCTATGTATTTGTCAATGACGGCAGAAAGTTTCGAATTGGAAGATGCAACTGGTGAAAGTATTGTACTACAAGAACAACTTCAACAACAAATAGCTCAAGAACAACAAATGCAACAAATGGAACAAATGCAACAACAAAGTCAAGAATAAAAAAAATATTTTTTTTTATTTTATAAAAATGTACAGAATAGACGTTTCAGATTTTTATGACTTCCAAGCGTTCAGAAATATGTGTCCATTTAGAGACTATAACAAAGCAGTCGAGAATTTGAAACGTTTAGTCATTTATGTTGACTCTGCCCCAGAATGTTATGTTATGAAAGAATGGGATGTTGTCTTTAACAAACCAAGAGCAACCATAGTTTCAGAACAAGAATGTAGACAGAAACTTAAGAAAATAAAAGTCGTACAAGTTGGTATGAAGATGTTAGATGCTTGGGATATCTTATTGTCAAAGTTAGAAGATTTTTCAGTTCGTGGTATAAAGTTTTATACACCATCTCCAAACTTCTATTCTATCTTCACTGGATATAAATACGAACAAGTAGAATGGAAAGAAAATGTTATAGAAGCTTGGTTAGACCATGTCAAAGAAATTATATGCAATGGAAACGAAAGAGTCTATGAGTATATCTTATGTTGGTTTGCAAACATCTTACAACATCCAAGTGCTAAAAATGAAACTGCTCTCATCATAATTGGAAAACAAGGAACTGGTAAGAACACATTCTTTACAGATATCTTATGCAAACTGTTAGAGGGCTATTCGAACCCGAATATGACAAACTTAGAAAACATCTGTGGCAAGTTTAACTCCTCAATAGAGAATATGAAACTTATAGTTTGCAATGAACTTCAAAGTATAGATACAACAAAAGTTTTAAACTCAGATGCTTTGAAGAGTCTTATAACAGACAAAGTTGGAGTTGTTGAAAGAAAATATAAAGACCAAAGAGTTTGTGAAAATGTTGCAAATTTCATTATGGTTTCAAACAATGCCGTTCCGATGAAGTTAGAAAGTTCTGACAGAAGATATGTAGTTGTCAGAACGTCAGATTCTCATATGCAAGATACAGAATATTTTGACGACTTAGCAGAAACTTTGACATCTGACTTTTACAACCACTTGTTCTCATATTTCATGACATTAGATATTTCTAAGTTCAATCCAAGACAAATTCCACATACCGAAGAAAGACAAACATTGTTAGAAGCAAACAAGAGTGTATATGAACTGTTTATAGATGAGACTAACTTTGAGTGTTTAGATGAAAGGTCATTGTACGATTCGTATAAACAATATTGTCAAGAGTATGGTTATATGGCAGCTTCTAAACGAACATTCTTGGCAAATGTCAAAAATCTTTTAGATGTTCAGAACGGCGTATATACAAAGAAAAATTTTTCTGAGTAAATTTTAAAAATATATATATTTTTATCCGATAGAAAAGATGACAGAAAAATTAACTTTTTACATAGCGCCAGACCCTTCTTGCCCACATCTTTTTAAGCCACAATATATAGAACTAAATAGAGAAAGCGAAATTCTACAAACAGAAGAAACATATAGAGACCTAGATAACGAAAATGGATATGCGCTATTCTGGTTAGATTGTCCTTATGAAATGTATGAAAAAAAGGCTTTATATGAAGAATATAGAAAATATTGTCATGAAAACGATATAAGACCAAGCTCTAGAGAAAAATTCTATGCTGGTATAAAACATCTTTCGAATTCGGAATGGCAATATAGAAAGAAATAATTTTTCTGAGTAAATTTTAAAAAAATATTTTTTTATCCGATAAAAAAGATGACGAAATTCATCTCAGTAAATAAGTACATGACAGAAGTCAAAGATAAGTTAGCTCCATTCGCTTATTTAATGTTTACTTCTACAATTTTGAAAAGTCTACATTTGACAAAATTTGGAACATTGCACCAGTTAAGTTTGCTGTTGTTAGAAAAAGTGGTGCAACTTTTGAAGACTTAGACATAGAAGGTTTGTTAGCAGTCAAAGAAAATTTTGACAGAAAGTTCTCAAAACTCGAAGAAGGCAAAGCATACAAACTTGTTATACCTTATGAACAAAGAAAGCAGACGACTATGAATATTATGAGTCTAAGATAGTTGAAGTTCAAGGTAATTGGGTAAAAAGATTTTAGAGTCTAAGCCAGTGTTTGCCCCTAAAGAGGAAGAGAACATTGACATTGACCCAGAAATGTTCTAAAAATAAAATTTTATTTTACATGTCAAATTTCTTTTTCTCTGGAACTGGTTCAGGTTCTTTCTTCTCTTCTACTTTCTTTTCTTTCTTTTCTTTCTTTTCTCTCTTCTTCTTCTTTTCTGGTGGAGTTATGTCAAATTTCTCAGAACCATATTTATGTAAAAGTTCTTTGTCCTTTAATAGCTCTTCTATTCTGTTTTCTATTTCATCTTCAAGAACAGCGCATGTGCCTTCTTGCATTCTAAGAACTTTTGTTGGACTTCATCTTTCCAATCGGCGTCATCTCTGTCAACAAGTCTGTCATTGACAAATTTTAAGACTGCTCTTGTAATGTTTTATGGTTCTTGTCATATTCCAGAAACAGAACTTTAGAACAAATTCACCTTTCTTGTTTACACTATGTAAGATTTTATGGTCGACAGATGTTTTGCTGTCGAAAAGTTTGTCTCGAATATAGATAGCGAAATCGCTAGACATTTTCAAAAAGATAAAAATTTTAATTTTTCTAAAAATATGTTAGAAAAAAAGTTTGCTGACATTGACAAAAAATTTGAGAATGTTTTAAACAAGAACAAGAGGAAGTTAGAAAATGCTCAGATAAACCCATACATTGAAAAGTTCTTATTTGCTCAGAATGGTATAACAGGTCTAATCGCACCACCTGGGTCGGGTAAGACTTTCACTTATCTTAAAATGGCTGCACAACAACAAGAACTAGATGAGAAGAACCCATTCTATGAGTTAGTTGTTATTTGTAGTACTTCTGGTCAATTTGACCAAACCGTCAATTCGTTCAAAGATATTATAAAGAAGTCTAAGTTAGTATGTATAAAGGATACTGAGTTGTTAGATTGGATAAAGAAGTACCAAAGAAGAGTTTTGAAGTATAATGCTATAAATGAGTATATAAATTCGAAGTTTAAAGACCCAAATGAGGAAATGCAGAGAATATTAGAGAAGAAACACTTCAGAAACAAACAGAAAGAGATAGAATACATTTCGAAGAAATTGCAATCTTACGATTGGAAAACGTACCCTCATAGATGTCTTCTTATCTTAGATGACTTTGCTTCTCATCCTTTGTTAAAGAATAGAGAACAAGATATGTGTCGAATTCTTAAGAAGCTCAGACACTTTAACATCTCAGTTGTCATTTGTGTACAGACAGCAAAGAGTTTAAGTAAGGATGTAAAGAGAATACTTACTGACATTGTACTTTTCCCTGGATTGTCCGAAGACGATTTCATGGAACTTATGAAAGAGTCCATGGCAGGTAAGTTTGACAGACATGAACTATGGGAGAAGTACAAAGTCATACAAGACCCTCATACTTCTTTCAGAATTCATATCTACGCAAACAAAGTTCAAATTGTAAAAAGTCAATAAAAATAAAGAGTTCATTTACTCTGCTTGTTTGAAGTTGTCAAAATACTCTGTATGTTTTTGTCTTTGGATTCAAGCTTGTTTTCCATCTCTTCACGTTCTTGTCTATGAATTTCGTCAAGAAGTTTGTAAACATGCCAAGCATAGCGAGGTGAAGCCCACATTGCAACAGCATTTACAAGAAGTCTATGTACATACCAACCTCTCAAACCATTTTGGCAATTTTTCACGATTTTCAGATAAAAAAGTATGTCTCGCTGTGCTTCGCTCAAAAGTTCTTTTGTCTGTTGGTTTTCAAACCAGTCTTGTGCTTGCTTTGTAGAACGAAGAGCATTCAAAATACTTTGCATTTGGTACATATCGTCTTTGACCGAACGAATGAGACGGAGTTGTTTGTTAAACTGAACCCACTCATATTCTTCATTTATAGCTTCATGGACTATAACTGTTGTTGTGTTCTCTGTTGTTGACATATCTGTCCTTACATACAAAATAAAAAAATAAATAAAAATAAAGTTAGTTTTATTTTTTCTATCTTAAGGAAATTCATGAAATTTCATACGGAATTCAGCAAAAATAATGTTTATGTTAGAATGTTAGATCTAACATGTTTTCTAACATGTTTTCTAACATGGTCTAAAACATACAAAACTCATGAAATTTCATACGGAATTCAATAAAAATAATGTTTATGTTAGAATGTTAGATCTAACATGTTTTCTAACATGTTTTCTAACATGGTCTAAAACATACAAAACTCATGAAATTTCATACGGAATTCAGCAAAAATAATGTTTATGTTAGCATGTTAGATCTAACATGTTTTCTAACACGTTTTCTAACATAACTATTTACAAGCGTTTTACATGGTATATGTTGCGATGGTTCATGACTCTAAACAATTTTGTAGCTTCTATTTCTTCTGTCAGTACATCGAATGTTTTAACGATACCGAAAGTTTCTTTATACTTCTTCTTGACATCAGATAGAAGGAAATCTTCTGCAGTTGGATAGTTTTTGTTCAGAAATGCTAACATGTCCATTTTATCTTCTGCTGGCTTTTCTGCTTCTTTCTTTAAGTCTGCATAGTCGTTTCGCATACGTTCTATCTCTTTGACGGAGTAGTTATATTTCCTAATTGCCGCTTTACATTTAGAACATTGCGGGTTCATTTTTGCGTTATATTCTGAAACCTTACCTGCTAAAACAACTAAGGCGTCAATGGTTTTCTTTAACTCAAACATAGCGGGTCTTATTTGTTCGTTCCATACTTTGCCTCTTCTATCTTTATCTCTTATCTGCCATACACATTCAGCAACTAACGAAACAAAGTTGTCGTAGGTCTTAAACTCCCCAGATTTATATATGTCAGAGATGTTCTTATATACCATGTCGCAATCTTTGTCCATAACCTTATGGTTGCAATGAAATCCTAGAAACTCATAATTTACCTTTCGTATGAACTTCTTTATTTCTACTGAGTCAGTTGGTTTCACTTCTATTTCGTCGAATTCAGGAATGGTTAGTTTTTGCTGCTGAATTTCAGGCAATTTGGGTAAATGGTCGATGAGGTCCTGCATTTCATAAAGATACTGTTCATTTGTTTCATCTTTCGCACTACAGTCTAAATTATTTGTTAAAAGTTCTTGCTTTATCTTCTGGATTTTTGTTTCAAAAGTATATGAAGAAGGAATGAAGCTTTTCATCTCTACCAACATTGACGTAGGATTCATGACTAACGAGTTTGGTGCTGTAGTTGTTTGAACTGTTGTTGTGCCGATTGTTGAAATCATATCTTTTATACAAAATAAAAAAAATAAAAAAAAAATAAAACTAATTTTATTTTTTATTTTTGGTGTAAATTTCATGAAAATTCAAGAGTTTTAGACCATGTTAGAAAACATGTTAGAAAACATGTTAGATCTAACATTCTAACATAAACATTATTTTTGCTGAAAAAGTGTCATTTTTTCATGTCCGATGACTCGAAGGTGCAACACTTCCAAAATACCGACGAACTCAGAAGAGCAGCATGGCAGTATGTTCTTGACAACTTCTTTGAGTTCTCCAGGTACACCTTGGAAAATGCTGAAGAACTCCGACACAGAGAATTTGGAGAAATTGCACTCCAATACTACATTGACAAACAAAGGGTAAACAAAGGGTAAACAAAGGGTAAAATAAGACTAAAAACTTAACGTTTAAAAAGTGACATTTTTATGAGCTCCGAGTCACCGAGAAAACTTGGTCAGATGTTAGCAGCTTACTTCCCTGAGGAGGATGGAAGCGTTACATACGTAAGGTTCAAAAACAACGAACCTGGAATTGCGTACCAAATTCGCAATTACATGACCATGGAAGAGTACGAAAGGTTCCTACAAGAGAAACCAGCTCTAAACAACTCAGAAAAGAAAGAATAAAAAGTTTAACTCGTAATTGTTTATTTTTTTACTTGTATGGGCAAGCTGCAAGAATGAAGTCGACTATCTCGGTCTTTGTCTTGACCAGTTGGACTGCTCTTGTAAGCACGTCTGTTTTGCGGTCTCCAGCTGGTGTCTGACCTTCGTAATTGCGCATGTTCTTGAGAGCTCCAACTGTAAATGATTGTAGGATGAAGAGTCTCTCAGACTGCTTGAGGTAGTCTTCACGGTCACGAACCGAATCTGTGGTACGAGTCGAATCGGTCGATTTGAGGGAAGAAGACTGAAAGCCTGTCGTCTTCCATAGGGGCTGTGCATAATCTTTGCGTAAGCGGTTCAGACCTTCTTCGAACTCTTGGTCTCTCTTCGATTGGATTGAGATTGGAATTGCTGGGGTGGAGCTTGCTGGAACATCCAAGGGTTGGGGAAGTAAGGCATAGGCTGAGGAGGGTAGTTCGGGAAGCCTTGTGGAAATTGGTAGTAACCTTGAGGTGGAAATTGGTAGTAATGGAGGACTTGCTGGAACTGAGGTGCAGGGGCTGGTGCTTTAGGTTCCTCTGGTTTGGGAATGGGCTCGGTTGGTGGGACGTCGGACATTCGTTTGTGGCTTAACCGTCGGACCACAACGATAAAAATCTCTGCTCCTAGCAGTACTGCTACTGACAGTAGCAGTACTTTTACTGACAGTAGCAGTACTTTTTCTGACAGTAGCAGTACTTTTTCTGACAGTAGCAGTACTTTATCGTCGAAAACCCTCTCAAATTTTCCTTTTTACTGCTCGTAGCAGTACTTTTACTGCTCCTAGCAGTACTGCTACTGACAGTAGCAGTACTTTTACTGACAGTAGCAGTACTTTTTCTGACAGTAGCAGTACTTTTACTGACAGTAGCAGTACTTTTACTGACAGTAGCAATGGTCGAGGTCGAACCTACCGACGAGGCAATTTACCTAATTGAAATTAACGAGCTTGTTAAAGACTTCCTCAGGCAGAATGTAAAAGGCAAGCTTGTTAACTGTTGGATAACGGGAAGGGCTGCCTTGAATCTCGAGACTTCGACTGGAATTCCAATTCAAATACCAGACGGGACAGCCTACGACGACATAAAGCAAGCAAAGAAAGAAGCTCTTCTCAAGTTCTTTGCCAAGCGTCCTTGGATACAACTTCCAAACAGAGAGAACCCTTTCCCAAGAATGAGCCAAATTCTCAAGGGTCTCCTTCACTTCTCGGGTCAGCCGTTCTACATAACCTGTGAAGGCGACATCCAACCAGTTCAGTAAACCTTAACGTTTAGAGTAAAAACATTTTTTTCATTTTTTGAATGAAGCAAGTTAAATTCGTCCCACACCAATCTCAATGGACCGATGAAGAGTTTCAAGCCATGGTTGAAGGCGTTGAGAACGACATAGACGGCGAACTTGAAGGAGCTCAAATCACAATTGCAACCAAAATTGCAGAGTCAAGGAACAGATAGCTCCACTTAAAGCTACCAAAGCTACTCTTGACCTCATGGATAGTTACCGTTTAGATGTCAAGAGTGGAATAAGACATTTAAAATTAAAACTTCTAAACTACGAAGCTATACTCCAAAAGTTAGCAGAAATGAGAAGACTTTACCAGAGCTACTTACATGTAAGGGACTTACCTTCAAGCAGTCCGACCAAAGATGAATTTTCTGACATTGTCCCAATTTTGTCCGAAAGTCAGCTCAGATGTTTGAACTGCTCCCAACATATCCAGAATATGAACGTTTGCCTGAACTCTTCCGCAATCTCAAAAAACGTTTTTTGGTTCTCATGTTCGAAACTTTTATCGGAAGAGACAACAAACGTTCAGAAGAAGAACAAGATATTATTTTAAACTTGTTGTATGACTTAACCGTCATAACAAGCTTTTTGAAGTAAAACCGTCATTCTCAAACCACTTCATTTTTTCGATGTCCGAACAAGCACCGAAGCCGAACACAATGGCAGATGTCCTTTCAATGTTGCCAGACAAGCGCCCAGTTCAAATTCAAATTTTGAATTTGAAAGCTCATCTGACAAACACCGTTAAGACTCTCCAAAGTAGTCTTATGGAAGAGATGACCAAGCTCAAAGCCGATGTCCTCATGAACCAAGCTTCCAATGAGAAATGCCTGAATGATTTGACGGAAACCTTGCGCATTTACGCGAGAGAGAACCGAGACCTTGCCAGACTCATCTACCGTTTCTTCGAAGAGATAGACGCCATCTGGAAGGTACTCGGAAAGGACAGAACCTCCAACACCGTAATTCGTGAACCAAATTGAAGAAGGAATTGTCGAGGAAGAAGAGAAACACGAAGAAGAAGAGGAAGAAGAAGAAGAGAAACACGAAGAAAGGAAGTTTGGGCAACCCTTGTTGCCGATGACACTTACGAAATTTCCCAACCCTACCCATACAAATCCGCAACAAGGAGACAGGCAAGGTTCTTACCCCAGTCCTCAACAACTTGGGACACTTGAACCTTAACCTTCGGAATCGCGGTTCAATCTCCATGGGCAAGCTTGTCGCAATTCAATGGGTTCCAAATCCCAAGAAGACGAAGGTCAGACACATTGACGGTGACAAGCTCAACAACCGTAAGGAGAACCTCGAGTGGTTCTAAGAGTAAAAAAATTTTATTTTAGGGGGAAACCCCGAGTAAATTTAGGTGTTTATTTGGATAAGTATGTGAAATTAAGGTCAATTTGCAAAATTAGTTCCCGACCTTTGAATTGGACTCTTTCGTCATCCCAGTTGCGTAGGAGGTCGTCCCAGAGGAGTTGGTAGATTTGCCAATCCAAGGACGATTTGTCCTCCCAGGCATTGAGGATGTACTGCTCGTAGAGTCTCATGACCTCTCCCTTGCACCAGACACCCTCTCCCTTGGAACGTAAGGCTTCTTCGAAGTGCTCGAATGCGATTGGCTGCGTGACCATCCGAAATGACACTTTTTGTCCGTTTGGTCAATGTTTGTGTCTCGTGCCATAGTCGACGAAAATACAGACAAACAGGTTATATATGAGTTTGAGACCAAGAATGGTGTAACTCGA